CGTTCTGGCCAACAGGACATGAGTGGAAGTAGTGTGTCCTAAAGGCAAATGGAACGTCCTTGCTTTCTCCTCTTCCTTTTTGTTGCCTTAAATGTGGATAAGGGCAACACACTAAAGATGCTGGGGCAACGAGATAAAGGAATCTAGACTCCTGTTGCACTGATCCACCATACCCATCCTGGACTGCTTATGTCTGCTCTGTCAGGTAGGAGAGAAACCTTTCCCTTTCAAAAGACACTGTTATTCAGGGTTTCTGCTCCAGCAACTCAACTGACATCCTAATTAACAGGGTTGGTCTAAATACCTGGGTTCATAAAACTGCCTCAGGCCTGTTCAGTTCTGGGACCCTTGCAGTACCCACTACATAATAGGAGATACATATTTTTGGAGAAATGTGTTCATGATTACAACTGCTGTGACTTAGATTCTTTACAGGGAGATGTTTACATCTCATAAATGTTCTTATTTCCCTTTTTACTAGAAGTAGCTTGGCAGAAGATATCACTGGGTTTCAGCATCCTCTGGTCCATAGCTTCAGAGGTGTAACATCTAGCAGTGTACAAACGACCTCCCTGTCATCCTCTGTGTTTCTCAACTGTTCACAGTTACTCTGATGTTTTGACATCATTTGAAACACAACATGTATTTCTGGGATTTATTTTACCCATTCTGCCCTAGGATATTAAAACCCAAATCTTAGCTGCTTTCTCTCTTATTCTGCCATTTGGACTATTAAGAAATTAATTTTTTAAAAGATGTATTTATTTATTTGAGGGGGGAGAGGCAAAAAGAGTGGGAGAGAGAGTCTTAAGCAGACACCCTGCTGAGCATGGAGCCCCATGTGGGGCTTGATCTCAGAACCTTGAGATAACGACCTGAGCCGAAACCGAGAGTCAGATGCTTCACAGACTGTGCCACCCAGGTGCCCCAAAATTAATTTATTTTTATTTCTTTATTTTCATTTTTTTTAAAGATTTTGTTTATCTATGAGAGAGAGAGAAAGAATGAGAGAGAGAGAGCACATGAGAGGGGGCAGGGTCAGAGGGAGAAGCAGACTTGCTGCCGAGCAGGAAGCCCGATGCGGGACTCGATCCAGGGACTCCAGGATCATGACCTGAGCCGAAGGCAGTGGCTTAACCAACTGAGCCACCCAGGCACCCATTAATTTATTTTTAAAAGTGAGATGATAAGCTATAGAAAATTTGGGAAGAAAACCCAACTCCCAATATGATCAGTATTAAAATGGTGTTGTATTTTCTTTGTCTTTTTATAAATGTCTTTTGTTTAGACATTGCCTACATTAAAATTTCAGTCTTACGCTCTTTCCATTTATTATATCGTAAGCATTTCCCTGTGCCACTATCTAGTCTTCAGGGCCCTCGTCTTTTACAGTTGCATGGGCTTCCAGAAGGGAGTATAATATGCTTGACCTAACTAGTTCCTGTTGCTGGATACTCGGACTTCTCTCTGTAGCGGTACACACGGTTGGAAGAGTATATTGATGCAGTACAGCTGGTGAGGGCTTGGAGTCTCACCATTGCTGGCTGGCTAGTTGGTACACCTCTGGTTTGGTCAGAAGCTCAGTAGGCCAACTCGTCTGAAGAACATGTGGATTTTCTAAGTTTATTTTTGGCTTTATTAACTACTAGATCTATGAGGCAGCACGATATTCATGTTCTAAAATTTAGGGACTTTTTTTTTTGCTTATGTTTAAGCAAAACCAGATAGATTTTTCTATTACTTTTCTTTCAAAAAGGAAGGAGTTTGTTCCTCTGGAAGAGTGGTTGGGAAAACGTGGAAAAAACAAGCATTGTCTGTAAAGGTCAGGGCTGGGATTGGGGGAATGAAAACAAAAACGAACCTAGAGTTTTGACAATTCCTTCCATTTTCTTTCCTAAAGCTGTGTTTTTAACATTGGATGGCACATCAAAATCACATGGGGAAACTTTTATAAAAACATTGATCCCTAAGTCCTATCCCCATAGATTTTGATCTAACTAACCTATGTTGGGGCCCAGGCACATGCAGCTAAGGTTACAACCATTGTCCTAAAGGCAATGGGCAAATAATGTGGAAAAATATTCAGCCTCACTAGCCATCAAAGAAATTTAAAATAAAATGACAAATATTTATGATTATAAGTGAGCATTAAAAATCATAGAATATGTTGAGCAAAAGAAGTCAGACACAAATTACACATGGTAAGATTCCATTTAAATGAAATTCTAGAAGAGACAGAGATCAGAAGAGTGGATGTCTGGGAGGAGATGGGGGACACAGGAGATACAGATTAACTGCAAAAAGTCCAGATAGAACCTTAAGGGATAATGGAAATGTTCTGGATCTCGAATGGGGTAGTGGTTATGTGGGTGCATACGTTTGCCAAACATAAGACTGTACATATAAAAATCTGTGCATTTATTATATGCCAATTATACTTCAATTAAAACAAAGAATATTGGGGAAAATTTCATCAGAGCCCTCCCCTTAAAAGCAGCACCCAATGCTAATGAGGATGTGGTGTAATTGCTACTCTTATATAATGATGGCAGAAAATTTTGGTGGGATGCTTCTGAATATTTGTCAATACATTTTAAGATCCAGAGTTCCAGCTTTTTGACCAGTAATTCCACTCCTGGGAATTTATTCTATAAAAATAATGTTTTAAACAATAAGTATATATATGTATATACTTATATATGCGCACACAAATCAAAATACTTTTTTTCTGTGTTATTCTGAGTAAAAATATCATTCATAGAACCAGTGAGTAATTTTTAACTCAATTAGGACTGTGCTGTGAGGGTTGATTCCAGCAGGCCTAGAATTGACCTGAGCTGTTTTGCTAAAGTTCTTGCTTGGCACTGACCACTGGTCAAAAAATGAAATATGCCGATTAGAGCCACATTGCTTTGTAATCACAGGGCCAAGGAGTCTGATGGCAGTTGGCACCAGGCTTGTCAGCACTGTTTACTGATAACAGTGAAGCTGATGATTTGTACTTGGTCTCAGCGAGACCTCAAGAAGGCTCTGCTGTTGAGGCTGGTTACATAGCAGAAACATGCTCCCATGACCAGCAGAATATAAAAAAACAAATCTCAGCTGAGACTCCATGTGGGGATCCCTGGTGGTGAGGTGTTTGGTGCACACATTGGTAGTTCCGGACCTGAGAGAGGAGGTGCATCCCAGCATGGCCCTGACGTAGGCAGCACCGTGGGGGCCCCTGCCGGACCTCTAGGGGACTGTCTGCTGTGAGGCTGCTGCGGAAGGCAACGCATGTCCTGACTCTAATTCTGTTGTGCTACCGTATCTTTCTCCTGCAATGCGCTGTACCTTTCGAAGCACTGTCACTGGGTTCTGTTAGTCATCTTTAGCAATCAGATCCTGTTTAACTGCTGCTATTAGTGCAAGGACACATCAGCTTTACGAAATATTATGTTCTACAAAAGTAAGCAAATTAAAGGCTGTAGCAACAAAGTACAATGCTTACGAGACAGCATTAAGAGGAAGAGAATATAAAATGTTATCCAAGCTATGGTAGTAAAATCATAAGACTGTGTTTATTGACAGAGAGACTAAGAGTGAACACAGGAAGGATTCTGGGTAAGCAATGTGTATACACATTAGATTCGGTATTGATGCACTTGGCAGGCACTGTGGCATTTTATGTGCTCTGGATCTAGCACTTCATTCTTTCAACCTCTTCTAATACCAAGATAAGATGTGGAAAGAGCACTATATAGGTTATTAGAGAACTGAGTTCTAGCCTTAGATTTGTAAGCAGCATGAACTGAACCATACATACTCCCCGGACATGGTTTCTACATTTCTCAGTAATATGATGATCAAAGCAAGATAAGGAATACCAATGACTCTGAAAAATACTCTATATAGCAGTAAACAACGGTTTTTAAATCATTATCATTAATACCATCAACATAGTTGGTGAGTAAGAACACAAAAGAATAAGAAATTTCAGCCTAATAGAAGGAATAAAGCAGAAGACTACAGAGCTGGGAGCAGAGAGGTGGATCATGGAAAAAGAACTAAAAATAAATAGATATAATAATAGCTGTGTGCTAGACATTGTTCTAAGTAAGTGCTTTACGTATTATTTATTCATTTAAATCTCACAACAACTTTATGAGATAAGTACTGTTATTTTGTCCTTTTTAAAGATGAGGGATCTCAGGCACAGAGAGGTTACATAACTTATTCAAGGTCACACAGCTAGTTTCTAGGAGAACCAGGATTTGTACCCAGGCAATATGGCTCCAGAGTCCATACTCTGAACTACTATGCTACATTCCAGAAAGGAGGAGAGCAGGAGGAATCTGGTGGAATGATGAGCAGGGAATGGAAGAAAGAGCAGGAAGTTCAGAAACACATTTTTTATTGAGCACCTACTAGATACTGGAGACTATGGATAAAAAGATGCATAAGACCATGGCCCATGCCCTTGAAAAGCCTACACTCTGGTGAGGAAGACAGGTAGTGAATCATATTATTTCAAAATAATGTGGCAAGTTCTGAAATAAATACAAAGAGGCACGTACCAAGGGCTATGAGGATACAAAGAATGAGCACTTCAGGGGCACCTGGGTGGCTCAGTCATTAAGTGTCTCCCTTTGGCTCAGGTCATGATCCCAGGGTCCTAGGATTGAGCCTCGCATTGGGCTCCCTGCTCAGCGGGGAGCCTGCTTCTCCCTCTCCCGTTCCCCCTGCTTGTGTTCTCTCTCGCGCTATGTCTCTCTCTGTCAAATAAATAAATAAAATCTTAAAAAAAAAAAAAAGAATGAGCACTTCGCCCAGCCCAGGCTTCTTGTAGAAGGTGACTCCTAGTCTAAGAATTATGAGTTGAAATGAGGAGTTGAAACAGGGAGAGGGTGGTCCGGACTGAGCAAAGTGCGTGAGGGGAGAAGAGCACGAAGGCAAATGAAAAGGGTGTATTTGGGGAAAAGCATGAAATCCCTATCGAGAGGGAACTTGTTTTTGTTTACCTCACATGGACATCAAGCTGGTTCAAAAATTGCCCATATTCTTCACAGAGCGCTTTCTTCTCTTGCTGCAACACAGATATCTTTTCTGATAATTCTTGGTTGCTTTTGAGATGCTGAAAAACATTTTTTTTAAATGAGACTATTCTGTGCTGCAAGGTTAGAAGTCTGAAAACTACATTTCCCAGACTCTTGACAGCAGAGTTCTAGCAAATGAGAGGCACTTGCACACAGTTTGGAAGGCACTGGGGGTGGGGGAAGAGCTGTCCTTCTCTAGCACTAGCAGGGAGGTGACCAGGTAGACAGCAGATGAGACATTTGCAGGGGCTTCAGGGAGTGTTCCTGCAAATCTCCCCCTCTGGGTGGGTTTCCCTGGGATTTCTAAACTTCTAAAGTTACCGAAAGCAGGCCACATTTTTTTCTGACGTTCTCCTCACCCCAGCATCTCCCTTCCAACAGTTTGTAAGCATGGTATTCCCTGTGTTAAATCCTTCCTTGCTTGAGATACCTAGAGTAGATTTTGCTTTTCCGATAAACGTAAGGGGTAAAACGCTAGGCACTCAGTAACTATTAGCTATGACTTGGGTCTATCGGAACAGGAAAACTGAGAAGTGCATCTACTTCCTTTCTTACCTCTTCCGATTTTCTTTTTTCATCTTCCAGTTGTTTAAGTTGGGCCTCCTGTTGCTGGATTCTGGATTGTTGCTGAGAACTGGTTATTTCCAGTTGATTCCCTTTATCTTGTAAGATTCTCACTTGCTTTTGTAGCTCTTTTACATTCTGATCCAGGAGTTTCCTGAGGGCGATTAACGTACATTAAGTCACACTGGATTTATGAAATTCTTTGACCTAAAATTGTTACATCACCACAAGGGATTTTACTGGTTCAATGAGGTAGGATATGTGTCCATAAAATAAAGAGGCCAACACAGGGGACCTCCTCTGTGACAGATGCTTTGCTTAGTTCTCTCTCTCACTCATCAAAACAACCCGACAAAGAGGAAATAACTCCCCTTATTTCACAAAGGAAGCCTACAGAGAGGTTTCATTAACCTGCTAGGACAAGATGAACGTAGGGCTCTAATCCCGAATCCTCTATTCTTTCTCCTCGTCCTCACTGCTTTACAAGTTGAGTCCCTTGATCTTCTTGGTTCAATACAGGGTTGTCAGTTACAAACACTGTTAATACTAATGCACACATGTTAACGCTGCATGAGCTGAATCATAAATGAGCCTGTGTTTGAGGAGGAAGTTCACCCTTTTACAGAAGGGCCATAAATACTTAACTCCTTCAGAGGGAATCTCATCAGACTACAGTTTGTGGAAGAGTTTCTGAGGATTTCCAACAAGGCTCTTTGGATTTAGGAGATTATCTAGAAGAATATGATGAGTATGATGGAGTAGCACCTACATGCTAGGTCACTACTGATATTGGACAAATGAGCTCACTTTCTCTAACTTCAGTTTTCTGAAAAACCAATGGATTACGGGGAAAGACTGATATCTGAGACATGGGCCTCATATCTCTCAACCTCCAGCACCTCCAATTCTTGTCATGGTTCCTGATATAAGTGAAGGCTCTACAAGCTTACCTCCTACCATTCACATCCGCCCCTGCACCAGCACCGCCCCCTTCACCTCTGTTTTCATTTCATTCATTATAGACCTGAGCAATTCCTGCCTATTATTGTCTACTTCTTCTTTGGTTCCATTCTGAATTTCTGATCAAGGGGCCAGACTAAGAGATAAGCTTTGGAGCTGAAAGGGATGTCTTAAATTGCTAGAGCTAAAGAAACTTGAGTTATCAGCAATGGAATTTAGGAGTTAGAAACTGGCATTAAAACATAGCAAGTCAAAATTTAAAAAGCAATTCATGAATATGTTAGAAATTAATTCCCATATTACATATAGTTTGAGCAAAGACTAACAGATAAACCAGTTATGCCAAATGAATGAAATTAAGAAGGCTCTCTGCTCCTCTCCATTAGACATATAGCCGCATCTTCTGGTGCGGTGCCAGCCATGTCCCTGAGACACAATGGTGAAGGTCGGAGCAAATGAATTTGGCCATATTGGGCACCTGGCCACCAGGGCTGCTTTTAACTCTGGCAAAGTGGATATTGTCGCCATCAATGGTCCCTTCATTGACCTCAACTACATGGTCTACATGTTCCACTATAATTCCACCCACGGCAAATTCCATGGCATAGTCAAGGCTGAGAACAGGAAACCTGTCATCAATGGAAAGCCCATCTCCATCTTCCAGGAGCAAGAGCTTGTCAACATCAAATGAGGTGATGCCTGTGCTGAGTATGTTGTGGAGTCCACTGGGGTCTTCACCACCATGGAGCAGGCTGGGGCTCACTTGGAGGGTGAGCTGAGAGGGTCATCATCTCTGCCCCTTCTGCTGATGTCCCCATATTTGTGATGGGCGTGAACCTTGAGAAGTAAAACTCCCTCAAGATTGTCAGCAATGCCTCCTGCACCACCAACTGCTTGGCCTCTCTGGCCAAGGTCATCCGTGACAATTTTGATATTGTAGAAGGACTCATGACCACAGTCCATGCCATCACTGTCATTCAGAAGACTGTGGATAGCCCCACTGGGAAGCTGTGGTGTGATGGCCAAGGGGCTGCCCAGAACATCACCTGCTTCTACTGGCACCGTCAAGGCTGTAGACAAGGTCATCCCTGAGCTGAATGGGAAGCTCACTGGCATGGCCTTCTGTGTCTCCACCCCCGACATGTTAGTCATGGATCTGACCTCCCACCTGGAGAAAGCTGCCAAATACAATGAGATCATGAAGGTGGTAAAGCAGGCATCGCAGGGCTCCCTCCAGGGCATCCTGGGCTATACTGGAGACCAGGTTATTTCCTGTGACTTTCACAGTGACACCTACTCTTCCACCTTTGGGGCTGGGGCTGGCATTGCTCTCAGTGACCACTTTGTCAAGCTCATTTCCTGGTATGACAATGAATTTGGCTACAACAACTGGGTGGTGGACCTTATGGCCCACATGGCCTCTAAGGAGTAAGAGCCCCCTGGACCACCAGCCTCAGAGAAAGCAAGAAGAAGAGAGAGGACCTCAGCTGCTGGGGAGTCCTTGCCCCAGCTCATCTCCCAAAACACTGAGAATCTCCTGACTTCCACAGTTTTCATCCCAGAGCCCCTGAAGAAGGAGAGGGGCTTGGGGAGCCCTACATTGTCCTGTACCATCAATAAAGTATACTGTACCCAGCTAAAAAAAAAAAGAAATTAAGAAATCAGTAGATTGATGACTCCCTGTCTCCCCAACAGCCTCAACCTCTCAATCCATTCCTTACATAACAACCAGAGTGCGCTTTCTACATCACAATCTCATCATATCATAAAATCCAAGCACTTCAATAGACCTTGTCAACTAGCTTACCTTTCTAGCCTCATTTTCTTGCCACTTGCTCTACCCCCAAACATTTTCTTCCAGGCAAAATGAACTTTTTTCACTTCTTGAAATAACTCATCCTCTACCCTTATTTCTCCCCTGCAACTCCAACCTTTTCCTTATCTTCCTCTTCCAGGACTTTATTCCCCTAATATTCTCTATTGAGCCATCTATCCCAAATACCTCACACTCAGCTTCAATAGCTTTCTTTGAGCAAGGCTTTCTTGAGCTGCCTAGACCAGATTAGGGGTCTCTGCTATGCACTATCACAGCATCCTAAACCTCCCTTAGTATAAACTTATCATAAAGTCTATGTACAAGGATATTCGTTGCAGCATTATTTGTAACAGCAAAAATGTCTAAAAAGCATTTTACATAAATTATAATACATCTATGTAACAGAATGCTATACAACTATTTAAAATAATATTATGGAACTAAAAATCAAGGGTGGCTGGGTGGCTCAGTCATTAAGTGTCTGCCTTCAGCTCAGGTCATGAACCCAGGGTTCTGGGATCGAGGCCCACATTGGGCTCCCTGCTCAGCAGGGAGCCTGCTTCTCCCTCTCACACTCCCCCTACTTGTGTTCCCTCTCTCCCTGTCTGTCAAATAAATAAATAAAATCTTTAAAAAAAATAAAAAAATAAACTTAATATATGGGAATCCTTAATATCTAAATTGGAGTTGCTTTCCTCCAGAGATAATTTGGGGAAATCAGGGGGCTGTCTCCTGGGGAACACTTCAAGACTCAAAGCTGATAAATACAAAAATCAATTTCATTTAGTTTGCATATTATGCCAATCATGTTAGAATTAGAAAAGCAAATCGCAGAGTATCATATTTCATAGGTCATTCAGTCATTCAAGAAAATTGACTGGTGCACCAAGTGTGTCTCAGAGCAACAAAAATAATCCCGGCCTTTAAGAATCTGATACTCTAGATTACAGGCAGGATGGC